TTTAGAAATAGGGAGAAAAAAAGGTTGCAGCTTAAGAAGGTACTTCTTCCATAGTCTCCCTTTTCACATGTGCAACAGCTGTATTTGGGGAGAGTCATACCCACACAATGGCAGTGTTCTTCAAAAATCTTTTTCTTCAGGATGCTTTCTTGTTCCAAATTTTTGGAGGGCACTTTCTTCTGATCCCATATGCATTTTAAGAAAGGTTTGTCCTGTCCCTTCCTCTCCTAAATATAAGCAAACCTGAAGAAGATTTCTTCACTTCATGGTTGCCTAGTCTGTGCACTTAATGCTGTACACTTTCCCTGTATTGACATGAAACCCTGAAAGGCTCCCTTAGACATTCTTATAAGGAAGTGCTGATCTGTTCTGAGGAGTTTCTTGGGTAACATCCTTCCTTTCTCTTCCTCATTCCCTATCATTCTTATACTATTAAAATTAATTAATCTTTCTATGCTAGACACAGATCTACACCTATAGAAACATTTCTTCTGCACCAGGGTCATATCAGTGTTCTGGTACCTTTTCCACTTTTCCTGAAGTGAGGTGGCAGTGATAAAGGGAATAGAAGAACAAAGTGGGGGTAGACAGAAGTAAATCTTTAATGAACATCTGGGCTAAAGAAGCAAGAAACCTATTACTACCGTGTCCAGTGAGTATCTTTGCTTAAAAAAAATATTCAATCTCATTTACAGGCTCATCCAGGAACCCTATCTGTGAGAACCCTATGCTTGAAAAAAGCTACCTGTTCTGAAGCAATTTTAAGTTCCTTTAAACATATTAAAAAATTCTCAAGTTGTACCTAAATATTGCTTTGATCACCCTGAAAGTATCATCTACTCTTGAATGTTAACAATTATTTATTTTCAAAAGGTACTTACCATATGTATCATATGGATCTACATTAGGACTAGGCATATTCCACCACTGGATGGTTGCATCAATGCCACCACTAAAACACTGTTCTCCATTAGAACTAATTGCCAAAGACAATACAGGTCCACTATTGAAAAAGATAAAAATTTATATTGTTATTGGCTAACATACAGAGTAGAAATGTACATTCAACCATTAAGCATGGAAAATAAAGCAATAATTACAAAAAAGTGCATTTATTTCTCTCTAAGTAATCTTCTGGTAAGCAATTTTACTTCCTAATGCAATTCCACTGAAATGTTTTGTTTGCAACCATCCCTTCCTTGCATAAAATCTTGAACTCCACTGCAAAAATGTTGTTAAGTCTTTTTAGACTCAAGGTATGACAAAAATGTATATTAAAATATTTATAGTCTGGTTAAAGTACTGAAACTTTTGCAATTTAAAGAACAGTGAAATTGTACTCTCAGAAGCAAGAGTAATTACCTCTAACTCTACCATTAATTATTAGGCAGACCAAGTTTCCTGCCCACGTCATAAACGTAGGACTGGAAGGTACTAATCCAACCCCTTGTACAAATGCAGGATGTACTATTCCCAAAATATCCCCTGCCAAACGTTTATCCAGCCCCTTCCTGAAAACATCCAGTGAACAGGATTCTACTACTTTCCTGGAAGCTTTTTCCACCATTTCACTGTTCTGCTGGATAGAAATGTTTACTGAGATTTGATCAAAAACTGCTTTGCTGCAGTTTTACCGTACTGGTTTGTGTCCGGCCCTCTGTGGCAAAGGAGAGCAGTCATTTATCTCTCTCCTTTTTGGGAGTCTTTCAAATATTTGAAAACCGCTAACATGTCTCCACTTACTATATTTACCTGATCCCAAGATGATTTTGAAATTAGGATGACCACCCCCCCAGTAATTAATTGTATACAAAGAAAATTATAAATGTTATAATCTTCCGTGTATAGACTCTAATTACTGGAAGGTTGTCTTCAATTTGTCTCCCACATAGCTGCAGTGGGGAGCAAGAAGTCAGACTCTACCCCCTTGCCCCGCTCCAGGCCTGAGCCTACCCCTGGGTCATATGTCTCTTTACTCTCCATGCCTGTGCCTGCCTCCCACTCCCTGCCCCTACCCCTCACTCCCTGTCTCTGCCAACTTCTCTTCATTACTCCAGGGCCGTCAGCAGCAGCACAGACCCAGCACAGCCTGGCCAGGGAAAACTGGCAGCAGCTCCCAGCCAGGTGGGGTTGGGGCCAAAGGAACCAGAACCAGAGCTGAAGAGGGAGGATGGGAAAGCAGACAGCAGGTCCCCCTTCCTCTGCCCTTTGGTCTCCCTATGGTCTGTTCAGCCACATGCCATCTCCCTGACCAAATGAGCCCTCCCAGTGCAAGGCAGGTGGTAGTTCAGCTCTGGCTTTAGCTCCAAGCCTGGGGCTACAACTGTAACTGAGCCACTGCCTGCCTTGGGCAGGTACTAGCATCTAAGACAGGGGTTGGCAACATTTTTGGACAGAGTGCCCAAAACACCCATAACCTTGAACTGTAACATGCTGGCATGCCAGGGCAAAAGGCAGGTCACCTGCAAGGGACCTGACTCTTGTTGCAGCAGTGCAGTCCCAGCCCCTTCCCTGCCATTTGCCCCACCTGTGACCAGCAATGAGCTGGGCTGGGGCTCCACAGACCCCAGTGCAGCCGCCTGCAGCCTCCCAACTGCCTGCCACAGTCGGTCCAGGCTCTGAGCAGTCCCCTACTTCTCACCATGGAGCCCAGGCTGCTTACAGCTCTCCAGGGTTTGGAGAGCACCGGCCTGGCTTGTTCCCAGTGGTGGATGCACATGTGCCTCAAGGCGGAGAGTAGGGAAGGGGCCAGGGCTGAACTGCCACAAGGATTGGGCCCCTAATGGCTCCCCACTGTCCAATGCATGCATGCCAAGCAAAATGCCTTTGTGTGCCATGCTCTGGTATGTGTGTTGGGGGTTGCCTACCCCTGATCTAAGGGGAGGCTCTTTCCCCTCTGTGCTGATGGAAGTGGGGGGGAGGGGGCAAGGGAGAGGAAGAGAGAGAAAGACCTTGTCTTGAATTCAAGCAAATGCAGTAACCTTTTTCTCCAAATTAGACACTAGGTAGGTTCTCTCAATTTGTCCTTGTACTGCTTACTTTCTAACCCCATTTATTATTCCTGTTGTGTGCACTTTGGGTTCTCTAAAGCTTCTCTACACCTTAAGATTTGGAGCCTAGAAGTGAACACAATGATCCAGCAGAAGCCTAGCCAGAGCTGAGTAGTATGATATCACCTACTGTCTCTTACATAAATTACTACTAAAAACAGCCCAAAATGTCTTTTTTTTTTTTTTTTGCAACTGCACTGCTGGTCCACATTTACTTTCTGTTCCATCAAAAGTTCTCAAGTCTCTCTCGGTAACACTACTGCCTAGCCATTTCTTTCTCATTCTGTACCTGTACATTTGATTTTTCTTCCCTAGGTGCAGCATCCCATTTTGTTCTGTTGTCTATGGATCAATTCTCCAATTTATCAAATTCCTTTTGAATTCTATTCCTATCCTCCAAAACATTTGCCACACTTCTTGGTTTTGCATCATCTGCAAACTGATTTAGGAAACTTTCTATTCTGGGATCCAAGTCATTAAAACTGGCTACTTCACAGCACATGATATGAGTGGCTGAAGCTAATGAAGACACAAAATACTGATTGATCTTACTGTAGACTTAAGACAGGAGTAAAATTCTGATAGAGATACACAAGACTGCAGCATGAAGATAAGAAAAGTGAAGCCACCTTTAATTTTCCTTTTTATATCTGTCAGCGTAAGCAGTAGGCCTGTGCAAATAGGCAACTATTTGATTTGGCTTCGGATCTGGCTGTGTCAGATGCCAGTGATCCGATTCGGTACTCTGGATTGGTTTCTTGCTTCGATTTGGCCAAATTGACTCTGAAGTTTCAGAGCCGCTTTGGAGATCCAGCCATAGGCTATATTGAGGAATCAATGAAATATCTGTAACTTTGTTGTTTTTTGTCTGATTTGGATGAAACAGGGGTGGTTTGCAGGGGTGGTAGCCTTTGCTGAGAGCAAGAAGCCTGCTAAGTTTCAAGGAGATTGGTGCAGGGGGTTGGGAGAAACTGCACCCCAAATTTTTGAAAGCAAAACTCATGTCATGTGTATGTGTTATGCCACAGTGGGGTGAAAACTGCAGGGATTTTGTAGCCCCTGCTGAGGCCACAAAGCCTGCCAAGTTTCAAGGAGATGGGTGCAGGGGTTTTGGGGCCCTGCACCTCTAGCTGCTGACAGGCAAAACTCATGACATAGATGACTGTGTGCGTTAAGGGGAAGCAGGGTGAAAGCTGCAGGGATGGTAGCCCCTGCTGAGGCCGTGAAGCCTGCCAGCTTTCAAAGAGATAGGTGCAGGGGTTCTGGGGCCCTGCACCTCTAGCTGCTGACATGGGTGGTTGTGCAACTGTGTCCGTCTTGGGCGGGGGGGACACTACTGCAGGCCTGGCTGCTAAGCTACTGTGTTACCAGTTACCAATCAATCATGATTCACTCAGGGATCAGCTCAATACACAGTAGCTAGCTAATGTAATGAGTTAACAAGCAAGGATTAACACTTACAAAACCACAGACTAAGGAGAAGAAAGAATCAATACAGACAATCAACTGCCCCAAGACAGGCAGTCAGTTGCACAAACATCCCTGTACCATCCCTGCAGTTTTCACCCCACTGTGGCCTAACACACACACATGACATGCATTTTGCTTTCAGGACTTTGAGGTACAGTTTTCCAGAAACCCCCGCACCTATCTCCTTGAAACACGGGTCATGCTTTCAGCAGGGGCTACCATCCCTGCAAGTTTCATCCAAAAGACAACAAAGTTATAGATATTTCACTGATTCCCCATTACACTCTACGGCCGAATCGGCTCTGAATCTTTTCTGAAGCGATTTGGAAGCTTCAAATCGATCCAGAAAGCCTAACGCTTCCAGCGATTTGATTTGGATTCACAGATTTGGCAACCGAATCATCGCCAAATCACAATCATGATCTGAAGCTTTGCACAGCTCTAGTGAGCAGTACTACTTTTAATAGTGCAAGTTTTGGGGGTTTTTTTTAAATGGCAGATAAAGGGGATAAAATCTGCAAAGATTAGAGTTACTTTCCTAAATAACATAATCAATAAACATCTTTTGTTCAAGTCTCACTTGAGAACAAGAAAAGTGATTTTTTTCTTTTCCAAAAAGGAGAGAGAAAAGCAGTGCACACACTATATTTCTGTACTGGTATATTAATGACTTCCCACGGGATTTCAATTTGCTGGGTTCCATTACACTAGGGGCAGGCAACCCCATGGTGCCAGAGCATGGCACGCAAAGGCATTTTGCTTGGCATACATGCCTCAAGACAGATGCTGGGGAAGGAGCCAGGGCTGCATTGCCACAACAAGGATCAGGCCCCTCACAGCTCCCCTGCCCTGGCACGCCAACATCTTACATGTGGAGGCTCTGGGTGTTTTGGGCACTCCGGCCAAAAACGTTGCTGACCCCCTACTTTAGACATTGCAGAGTAGGGTTCAGGCAATTATGTCCTTATACATCTCAAGATTTATTTTAAGGCTGGAGACTTGCCTCTCTGTGGGACAGATGTGGGATTAAGAAATGTTTTACTATCTAAAGTGTTCTAGTGAGGGAAAGGGTACCATTTTCCTTTGCCAGCACCAGCAAATTGTCCATTCGTTCTATTTCTGCTCCCAGGGGCCTTTTGGGGTTTGCAGCTACTAGATTTGGGACTTAGTCACAAGTGCCATATTTAAGAGAAAGGCACTTCCCCTCACAATGCATTTGCCCTTAAACATGTTCACTTTTGTTTTCCATTTCTTTATTAAGTTCTTCAACAGACAGCAGTCAGGTTTAACGGGCTCATTTTCAGGAAGTAATGCAGTAGTTAAATGTTTTGATGGTCCTTACTGCTGCATGGTTTTCTTAACATAAGCTCAAATGGCAAGTTGCACTGACACTGTTTTGCTACTTTGTATTAGCTCCCCCACCCGAAACAAACCAAAAAACAAACAGGCAAGCTCAAGACTTAGAGGGTAAAAAAAAGGCCTTGCTTGACATTGTAGCTGGAGTTGTTAGGGATTGTTTGAATCTTGCCCAGGCCTCGATCACAACTCATTCCATTTATTATTGCAACCATGTCTCCCAGGTTTCCTGGCATCTCCTACCCACTTCCCTCTCCAAATACAGTTTGCAATGAAAACCCATCTGCCTCAATTTATGCCATTTAAGACTCCCTCATTAGCCCTCTTAGAACATTCTCAGGTTCAAAGGCCTATACAATTTAGATCCTTCCTACTTTTCAGCTTGGTCTATTTTTCTTCTTCACCTACTCAATTCTTTTTATTCAAGTTTTTCTCTCACACCCACTTCTGTACCTTTTTTTCCTGCAGCCTGTTATATCTGAAGGCACCTTTTCTAAATCCACTAACTACTCTTTCATCTTTTCCTATCACTCATCTCAAACCAGTTAAAGTAGAATTACACATTACTGTTTTCTCACATACAACTTTCCCCCAAAATCAGCCTACCAAAACTGGGGTGCACAGATTAAGCAGGGCAGCTGATTTTCTGTCCAGAATAGAAGCACCCTGCTTTGATCCCTGCTCCACTGTGCAGCAGCTGTGGCATTATTATTAGCAATATTATTAATCATAAGTAAGAGATGTCATAGCATGTTAAGGCAGCTGAGGAAGTCAAGTGACTTAATTTGCTCTTCACCTTCAAGAGCAAATTGGATGCTTATCTTGCTGGGATCCAATGATCCCAGCTGACTGCCTGCCCTTTAGGCGGGGGGCTGGACTCGATCTTCCGAGGTCCCTTCCAGCCCTAATGTCTATGAAATCTATGAAATTGCTCATTGTTCTTAACTCCATATGTGGTAACAATCACCTCTTCTTTTTAATGGTTTTGATTTTCCACTGATGAAGCTAACCTTTTTAGGACAATTTTTCTGCCTTCTAACTACTCCTGTGGTGTCTCTTCTATTTCACAGCCCTGGAGACTCTTTGCCTCTTTTCAAACTCACAGATCCACTCATGCACACCAGTCTTCAGCAGCAACAAAGGTGTCAGCTTTAGTTAAGAGGGAAAGTAAAGGTGATGCAGCTGAAGATTAGGCTCTGTCCTTGCTCTATACAGCCATAACTGTGGAAAAAGCTTTTTTTCTTTAAGTCTACCTTTCCAAGCCAAGTCGTGTATTATATTCTGGGGCGTGTCATATGCAAGAAAAACAGCATATTCAAAACTGCAGTCTTAAGAGATATGGGTATCATTCATTAAAGTCACTGCATGATTTAGCACCTTCCATTTCTTCCCCTTCTGCCCTGAACATCAACCACTGTTACCATCTCCCTCTGTTCTATGCTCACTTCACTTCAGCACAAACACTCAATGTTTATTTGCTTTACAAAGCATCATGGACTTGCCTGGTATTATGTATTATAGTTTTAATAAAATAAGTGGCCTTTAAGCCAAGATCCCTAGAAAACTGGCAAAAGCTGTTTGTAAAGTACTAACTCCGGCAAACACTTACATGTGGGCCCTAAATGTGTAGATAGGTTCTACGTCTAAAGAGGCACTCCTGAAAGAAAAATTGGGAAAGGTGAGTGTACATAAACAGAAAAATTGGGAAAGGTGAGTGTACATAAACACAATCTGTTAAAATAAACCTAACAAAAAAGATTTTACAGAGATGGCTAACAAGTTTTCAAAAACATGTAAAAGCTTTTTATTTAAAAAAACCCCAAAAACCTATAAACCTCATATACTTGCTTTTTGGCAGGAACTGTTTTCTGCAAGTTCCAGAGTTTTAGAGTATGGTCCTCAGAGGCTGTAACCAGCACAGGCTCTACAGGATGAAAAGCTAATGCCCGCACTCCATCAAAATGACTGCGCAGCGTGTATTTAGGATTCCATGTCTTCCGGAAGGCATCTTTATTGGCAGGCAGCTAAAAAAGGGAAGTAATAGCTTTACTACTGATCTTATGTATAAAAATATGCATCATATTTGTGTGTTTGAAAAATTAAGCTTTGGTCAAAATATAAATACCCGCTTAATGGTATAATAAACTTAAGACGGTTACTGCAGAACTACCAATGGAAGGAAAAGAGAGAGCTGCATATGGATTAACACTGAGAGGAATGCAAGTTACTGCAGGTAAGTCATATGAATTAATTAAAGAAAGGTTTTGTTTGTGGGGGGGATTGCCAAAGTTTCTAAGGCATTTATTTGCAAATAGGTTAGCAACACCTAGGAAATAAAACAAAGTATTTGCATTTAAAAAGGTACTTGAAGACTACTTTTCCTGCAAGCAAGTATCCACTCCAGTTCCTAAATACAACACGGTAAATTAGAAATACAAACATGCTTGTGCACAAGGCAGCTGATACATGGATTTTGAGGCTTCTGTATTGTATCTGGAAGAAAATTCTAATCAGAAATTTGGTTGTTTATAATTCACCTTTCTAGAAGGTTACTCAGGGTATTAAGCTGTCAACAGAGCTCAAAGTCCCAGATTTTGATGGCAGACCGCACTGCTGAATTCCCAGCCCTTCGGTAAGCACCCCCAGGCACAACAGGGCTCTACAGGCCAGACCTGACTCTCAGAACATA